TTTTTTTTTTTTTAATTTTTTGTAAAGAGAGGGTCTCACTATTGCCCAGGCTGGTCTTGGAATCCTGGTCTCAAACAATCCTCCTGCCTTGGTCTCCCAACGTCCTAGGATTATGGGCATGAAGCACTGTATCCAGTCGAGTTTTGACAAATATATATACCATATCTTGGGGCCTCTTCAATCTGTCTTCTTGTGAGGAGGGATCAGCACAACCTACAAAGTCCATATCAGAAAGCAAAAAGAGTTGGGGTCACCAAAGTTTACCTCTCGTTCTCTCCTCTCCAGATAGGCTAGCTCCTGTTCAGATTGTTTTATCTTCCGGTGGATTTCCAGGTTTTGCTGAGAAGAGAGGGAATTCTATGAGTACAGCTCTTGGGAAAAAGTGGTCCTAGAAATGCCTCTATGCCAGTGAAAGGAGTCCAAAGCAGCTCTTGTATAGAGAGGCAGTTCTTTGTATTAGAAGACACTAAGGAAGGGAAAAGTACTAGTCTACTTTCCATTGTTCTGGGGCCAGTTCAATTTGTCAATTTACCAGACCTGTGGCTTCTCTTTCCTAACAACCACTCTCCCTCTCCTTAGCCATTTATTAGCATGCACACCAAACAGCTGAAAATCAATTGTGCCAGACTGATGACTTGGAATTCCAGAAAGTCAGAGGATGGTGGAGGAATCTGTTGCAAGGATAGTAAGGAGATTCTCTTAGTCCTAGAACTTCTGCAGAACCTCTGGAGAGGTGGCTGGGAAAAGTACCTACTACAAAGTAAAATGTCTCAGCTTTCAGCTAAATAAGACTTTGAGATTCTGTGCGGAGAGAAAATCTAAATCCACTGTCATCATCTGCTCTCATAATATCTGCTAAAGGAGTGTAAAACAAATTAATCTGAGAATATGAGTTCATCTAGGGACTTTATTTATCCATGATTTGGCTCTTTGGTTAAGTACATATAAATAGGAAAACTGCAAGGGAGGATCAATGTATGTCCACTTAACACCCTAAGGATAGCTGTTATGCTATGGTTTATAACAATACTCACTATATGAAGATCACTTACGGTGAAAACTAAACATTGTCAGAGCTGAAGAGAATCAGGAGAAGCTATCAAGTACCAAAGAAGAGAAGGGGCTTATCTGAGGTCCAACTGTTAGGTTAATGGCAGAACTAAGATGAGAAACCCAGTAAGTAAGCTTCCTACTCCACAGCCCTTTCTCTTCCTGCACATCCTCTGTATTTGGTGCCCTAGCCACAGCCATGCTGCTTGCCTTGGTTTACATACTGAAGTTCTTCAAAGATGGGCATAAGCTTATTTCAGAGCAATTCATTTTTGCATTAGACTGATTTAACGACAGGAACAGGGAGTGATACTGATGAAGAATGATAGGATAAACATAAGCTTCTTTATCCCCTGTAATGCCCATTGATGATAAGAGTCAAAGGTTTACAAGGTCATATTCCCTTCCCCTCATACCTTGTGTAGGTCTGACAGCTGCTGATGTTTGATTAGAACTTCTTTATTGGGAAACTGCCTCCTGCAGAGCAGACAAGCCAGTTTATTCCAGTCAGTGAGTCTGTCTTCTTCATTCTCCTTCTTGGTCAGCTCTTCCCGCTGCTGGGGCTGTATTGTTCGAGGCTGTGGGGGAGGGGTCTGTTCCTCCTCCTCTTCTTCATAGTCACTGTCTCCTCCATATTCACCCAGGAGGCCAATTAATGGGTTTACCACCTTAGGCTGGAAGAAGGCCAGGAATCAATACCAAATTCAACCCATATGTTGGGGCCCATTTTTGGATATTCTAAAATGGGTATTTCATTTCTTTATTCTCTTTTAGTTAGAATATGAATTGGATTCATTATTCCATCATGGGCCCACTGCTCATTTTTCAGAGTCTAGAGCTTGACTGTGTTCCTAGCTCACTGAGATAAACCACAGCAGTTCCTTTGGAAGTGACTCTAGTAACAGAATGTGAAGAAAGGGAGAACTGGTAGAAAATAGCAAAAAAAATTTAAAAAATTATGAGTTACAATGAGGAAGAGATAAATACCTCAAAGTCACTATAACTCATGGAGAAAAGGAAAGATGAATTTCATCAAGGGTATAACAAATGGGATTTAGGAAGTAAACTAAAAGTAACCGTAGTGTTGAGTAGACAGATTCAGTTCCTAAGTGAGGTAAAGGCAAAGGCATGGTTAGGACAGAAGTTACAATGAACTGAATTAACCATTTGACTGCAAACTCTATAGGCATTCAAATAGAATGTTCATTTGGTACAAACGATGCCTAATAGGCATTGTTCATTTTGCACAAACAGAAATCTTTGCAAAATTCATGAAAAAGGACTGATATTTGTTACCGTTACAAATGTTGCATTTTCACAATAAAGACAAAGAGTAGCGAACTGTTATAATTGCCCCATGCCTTAGCTGGCATGTTTCTGAGAGCTCCACAGTCACTGGTTCCATGGTCAATCAAAACAGAAAAATACAGCATGGTCACTATTGCTATATACGAGGTCTGACAATTATGTTTTGGAGCTGGCCATTGTGAGCTTACGTTGGTAGCACTGTACAAACAGGTGGATAAGGTTTCACAATCTTGGTATATCAGTGCATAGTACTGTTTCTGTCAACATGTGGCAGTGTCTTGCTTAGCAGCAATACTGTCACTGAATGTTTTTGTGTGCTGTCATGAGACTGTGAGAGCTTGAATTAGAGCAATGAATAAACATTCAATTTTTTTTAAACTTGGCAAGAAGGAAGTGAAATCACAGACATGTTAGTCCAAGTTTATGGGGATAATGCCATGAAGAAAATGGCAGTGTACAAATGGATTAAATATTTTTCTGAGGGAAGAGAAATTGTCATCGATGAGAGGTCAGAACAGCCAGTAATGAGCAGAACTGATGAAAACATTGCAAAAATTCATTGAATTGTGCATCAAAATCACCAGTTGACCGTCAAAAGCATAGCAGACCAAGTAAACACTGTTAGTGAAAGAGGAAAATCTTAACTGAAAATCTTAGCCAACAGCTAATGGCTCTTGCATCACGACAATGCACCAGCTCACATGGCATAGTCTGTGAGGGAGTTCTTAGCCTGTAAAAGAATTGTATTGGAACACCCTCCCTACTCACCTGATCTAGTCCTCAATGATTTTTTTTCTTTACCAAAAGATAAAGGAAATATTGAAGACATTTTGATGAGGGACATCAAAGGTAAATATGATAAAAGCTCTGTTGGCTATTCCAGGAAGAGTTTCTGAATTGCTTTGAAGGTGGACTAGGCGCTGGCCTTGGTGTATAGCTTCCCAAAGGGAGTATTTCAAAAGTGACCATAGTAATATTCAGTGGTAACTGAAACATGTATATATTACATGTTTACCGTATACAGCACTTTTTCTAGGATGAGTTTATGAACTTAATTGTCAAACCTTGTATACCAAAAACTTTATGGCTGACCACCTCCTTAAGTTGACCTAATTTTCATAGACTGGATATGCACCATATGTATGCATCAGTACAGGAGGCCTAATCTGTATCTAAGTGACTTTTTTTTTTTTTTTGGTTAGAGATAAGAGTCTCACTTTATCGCCCTTGGTAGAGAGCTGTGGCATCACAGCTCATAGCAACCTCCAACACCTGGGCTTAGGTGATCCTCTTGCCTCAGCCTCCTGAGTAGCTGGGACTATAGGCACCTACCATAATGCCCAGCTACTAAGTGATTCTTATATGGCACCAAAAGGCAGAAAATATCAAGGCCAGGAAAATCAGTTTCCTTAGTGATTTAGAGAAGAATTGTCAAGAACAACAACATAAAAAGGGCGAGACATTTCTTGGTTTGGTGGGAATGGTACAGGGTAGAAAGAAAGAGAGAGATAACTGCCTCTGATTCTCTAGTAATACCCCTATTATTATCAGACAGCAAAATGTGCCTTATGCTTGTACTTAAGATGAATCCTTATTTGGGAGACACGGGGAGCTGAAGGACATTAGCCTTTGAAGTTCTTTTCCCACCTAGAACCAGCCCTAGTGCAGGGGATTAGTTAGCCTTACTGGAGGAGGACTCTCTTCCTTCTTCACAATAGGAGGCAGGGGCTTCTTAAAGACGTCCTCTGGGGGGGCCTTCCCTTCATTGGTATTTTCCTGAAACTGATCAAACCCACAGGTAATTCTTATATGATACCTACTCATAAAAACTGGGTTAAGTGTTAACTCTTAAAAATTAGGCTAATTTCCCAAAGCTCCTAATTTGTAAAATATCAGTAACCTGCTATACTGAATTTGAAACAAAGAACCATTAAAAACATAACAATTAGTATATATTACATGTTTACTGTATGTCAGGTACTAGATAAAGCATTATCTTTACTTTAAACATTACTACAATCTTCCTAGATAGGCATTAATAACCTAATTTTACAAATGAATGAGAATATAGTTAGAAAGATTAAATGGCAGAAGTAGAATCCAAATATTAAGCCAGTCTTAACATCTAAGTTCTTAGACAAACATCTTTCCTCTTAGACAAACGTCTGTATCTCTAGATAAACAACTAATCATATTAAAAAGAAGAAAATGAGAAGCTATGAATTAAACTACAAGCAAATTCATTTATTTTCATTAATGTATAACTGGTATTAGGGTAAAGGAGTGTAATTCTTTAGAAAATAATTTGACCAAAAAAGAAAAGAATGTGATTTGTGGCTCAGCGCCTGTAGCTCAAGTGGCTAGGGCCCCAGCCACATACACCAGAGCTGGCAGGTTTGAATCCAGCCCAGGTCCACCAAACAACAATGACAACTACAACCAAAAAATAGCTAGGCATTGTAGCGAGCACCTGTAGTCCCAGATACTTGGGAGGCTGAGGCAACAGAAATGCTTAAGCCCAAGAGTTGGTGGTTGCTGTGAGCTGTGACGCCACAGCACTCTACCCAAGGTGACAGCTTGAGACTCTGTCTCAAAAAAGAAAAGAAAAGAATATAATTTGATTTTTCTTTTTTATTGACACAGAGTCACCCTCGGTAGAGTGCTGTGGCGTCACAGCTCACAGCAACCAACTCCTGGGCTCAACTGATCCTCTTGCCTCAACCTCCCCAGTAGCCAGGACTAAAGATGCCTGCTACAACGCCTGGCTATTTTTTAGAGATTGACTTTCGGTCTTGCCCAGGCTGGTCTTGAACTCCTGAGCTCAAGCAATTCACCCACCTTGGCCTCCCAGAGTGCTAGGATTACAGGTGTGAGCCACTATACCTGGCCTTGACTTTATATTAGCTGTAAAAATTATTTTTTATTTATTCTTTATTTCTCTGAGACAGAGTCTCACTTTCTTGCCCTTGGTAGAGTGCTGTGGTGTCAGAGCTCATAGCAACCTCAAACACTT